TCTCTCTCCTTCTAGTTTCCTTCTTGCTAGCTCTTGGGTGTGATTCCATTAGAGGCATTACAATTGTGGTGTTAGGCTTCCAAGAAGATCAAGATCAAGAGGATTGTCAATTGTTTGCTATAGCAATTGAAAGGTATGTAACTCTTAAACCCTAATTAGTTCATTTCGAAATTAGCCTCCTCCTCTAGGGTTCTTGTTTTGCAATTCAAAGTTATATGTTCAATAGTTAAAACATAGATCCAAAGTAGGTTGCATGTGAACTTAGGAATTGTTTTCTAGTTTATTTGTTTTACCTAAAACCCATCAAGTAGTTTCGGACTTCGGTCCGATGCCGGGGTGGTCCCGAGAAGTAGTTATGTATGCTTGATGTCTTCGTGATTCATGCATGTTTATGTTATGTGTATATATTCCGGACTCCGGTCTGATGTCGGACAAGCCCGATGCAATATATGTGATTATATTATATGTTCATGCTTATGTTATGTCCAGTTATTCCGGACTTCGGTCCGATGCCGGGCGGGGTCCAAGTTATTCTGGACTTCGGTCCGATGCCGGGCGGGGCCCGATGCAGTGGGCGGGGCCTAATTTATGCTGGACTTCGGTCCGATGTCGGGTGGGGCCCGATGTAGTGGGCAAGGCCCAATATCTGTCTTATGTGTTATTGTATGGTATGTGGTAGTTTGGGGGAGCTCACTAAACTTCGTGCTTACAGTTTCAGTTTTGGTTTCAGGTACTTCAGCTAGCAAGGGAAAGGGCTCGGGATGATGGCATGGCACACACCACAGTTTTCTTAGCCTGGGAGTTTACTCTGGTATTTTATATGAGATTGTGATATGATAACAGTTTTATGAGATTTTGAGATACATGTTTCATGATTTTATACTATGGCGATGATATTTATGTTTATTAAATGATTTTAAAAACGAAATTTTTGGCTAGTATTTTTGTGATGTTTCATATATGTGTTGGGCTTATGATCCATGTTGGACTAAGTTTATGTATGGATACGTAAAGAGTTGGGCCACATGAACCATGGATCATAAAACCCATGGGTATGGATTTGGGTTATACCCATGACCCTTGGAATCCTACATATAAATATGTGCTCTATAGCTAAAAAAAGCTGACATGCATGTTATTGGAGTTCATGGGTGTTTTTGGGTGCATGGAATTCTCTCTCAAGTTCCTCCTT